CGAAGACGTCTCTTAAAAAGTGAATTCGCCCTGCTTCAAACTTTATCGCCCTTATTCCATCTCGTTCAAGTCATAAAATGCTGGAAAGATTTTTCGTTAATTGAAGTCTAAAAGACTGTATCGAACTTAGAAAAAAGGAAAAAAGTCGTTTTCTTGTGTTCACGTCCTCCACAAAACTTAAAATTAGGCACTTTCACGTTGTAGTCTTGTAGTGACGGCAAAGAAACGCACGAAAAAGTATAATGCAAGTGAAAAGTTGTTGTTTTGCCAATCTAAATCTAATGCCTTTTTTTGCCGTTCTCGTTGCCGTTGCCTTCGTCGTCAGATATGAAACTGATGACTTTTACGCTATTTAGTGGTCGCTAACAGGAAATAGTCGGTCACGAGAATTGATTTACAATGGGTATGTTCTTATGTTCAATTTCTAAGCTACAATATGTGGTAGTTTCATGCTGTCACTAAACGGGCTTTGCATACTCCGAGTTTCAACGAACATATATAGAAATCAAACCCTTTCACAAGCAAGAGGTTTAAAAAAACAATGAAAATTTATAAAACCGTCAGGTCAAAAAGTGGTCGCGGACGCTTATGAAAGGTGGTCGTTGATAGGGCGTCGACTGGGAAAAATTTAGTGTTTGAACACGTGGTACAGAGCTTACGAGAGGTGGTTGCACATGGACGGGTTGGGCTGTATAAACTCCCCAAATCTGGGGCGGCACAGGGGGGCCATCCACAAATTCCGTTAAGGCAAATGAGATTACTAGGGAGATTGAGATTCACGTTTACGCCAAACGGCAGACGTGAATTTGAACCACGTGACCAAGTTTACCCCTTACTTTCCGTTTACTCTTTATTGCTTCTACACAAAAATAAGTAGTCTTATGCCAGTTTCAACAAAAGGAATCGTTCGGGACTGTTTTTATTTATTTATTTTGTATTTTGAGAAATTCTCAACTTGAGTCTGACTTTTGCCGCTTGCGGTAAACGTGAATCTTAATCTCTCTACTATCGAAACAGGTACACCGCGAATCTCAGCGGTACGCTGGACAGTTGATTTTAGCGCCAGACGTTTAAGACTTAAGTCACGTGGCTTTGTTTGTCAAACCAAAAAGGTGAACTCACGTGGTGTCATTCCCGAGCGTTCGGTAGGCCAAAGATAGGTTAAGTCAAATAATCGTGTACTCTGTCAACCAAAAAGGAGAAATTTTCGTCCGCGAAAAGTCAGTCGATGAAAGTTCTTTCGGTTACAGCCTCCTAGCGCCATACAGTCAGGTAGGGAATTTAAGATCCAACAACACGGACGACAACGAGAAAGTAAAAAAAAACAATAGGTTTAATAAGCAAAACAACGACTTCGCACGTGCATCACACTTTTTGCACATTTCTTTCCCGTTTTTGCACGACTACGACGTGAAAATGCCTCATTTCGCGTTTCATAGAGGACGTAAACAAGCAACGACGACATTTTATTTCTCAGTTTCCGAGCTTGAATATGGTCCCTTAAAATTCAGCTTCAGGAGGGTTCGCCTACATTTGACAAAGTAAGTGGTTACGAATAATCGCTATAAAGACTGAAAGAACGCAATTCGCTTTTTAAGCGACGTTCTTGTCGCCGTCGCGTCCTTGGATCTTAAAGTCTCTAGTATAAACTCTGACCACGCTGATGCGCGAATTACGAAGCCAGCAATCAGAAAAGGTCGAAAAGATTTCACCTTTTTGGTTTGACAAACAAAGCCACGTGACCTAGGTTTTTAACGTCTAGCGCGAAAATCAACTGTTACGCGTGTCTCTGAACTTCGCGGTCCACCTTTTTCGGTAGTAAGGAGTCCCCTTACCCTCTCTTGTTAGAAGTATATAATGCTTCGATTGAAGTTAAGAATTTACAAAACAAGAAACAAGCCGTAAAATGTTTTTTTAATACAAATATTTAAGCAAAGCGTACTTAAAATGTAAAGCGAAAAAAAACCAGTCTCGTCTTTTCTAACTCGTTTCCTGGTCAGTTTGATGAACTTCGCAAAGGCTAGCAGCAAAACGGTATCTAAGTTATATTTGCACGTAATTACAGAAACGTTGTTATTAATGTGAAAATCAAAAAGATAAAGAACGAATAGGAATAAATAAGCCAACTTAGCCAGATTATGTCTTTCGCAGTGTACGGCCTTTTGAGCCCCAAAACTGGCGTCTCCAGTTTTGAATTAGGGTGGTTTTGATTTTCTTTTTTTTTTTTTTTTCAACAACGTTATTGCAATTATGTGTATCTTTTGACAAGACTTAATAAGATTTAATAAAAGTTATGAAGGGATGCTTGCTTTCAACATTTTACCCTCAAATTAGGCAGGATAAGAAAGCTGAAAAACCATGAAAAGTACTGTTCAATAGTTTTCAGTTGAATGCAAATTATCTTAAAACTTAGAACCATCTTATACTAATTAATTTCTCCACTGCTTCAGTCTTGAAAATGGGTACAATAAACGCGGAGTACTAAACACTGCTTGGACTATCTTTAATAAGTAAAAGGAATCTTTTGCCATCGCAATTTTCTCGGCACTGAGCATATACTGGCTAGAGGGTTGCTGAAAGCTAGAAAGTACTCTGGAATAGTTAAATC